CTTAGCAAGATGATCTGCAAGTTCATTCCATGGATCCCCAGCGTGTCCAGCAACATGCTCGACAATCAAACCGTCGTGGCTCAAACCGGCTTCCAACGCCTGAAAAACGCTGCGCAATAACACAAAAGTGCAGTGATTGTCATGGCAGTTGGCACTTCCTGAGGCCTTTCCTGCGGTGATATTGGAATCAGTCCTAAACACTGTAGGAATGTTTGAGTTGAGTCCCAATCGCCAGACACCAGACCAGAAAAGACCCTCTCGTTCAGCGAACTCGGACCCAATAGCATCAGTGCCAAGAAAATGGGGCAACTCAGACTCGTACAGGACTGGTTGTGAGTGCCATCCGAGAAATGAAATCTTGGAGACATTTTCAGTGTCTCCATATTTCTCGCCGAGGACAACAAATGCCCAGGCATCCGGCGCATCAATTTCTTGTACCCACAACGGTGCTTTCCTGCGGTTGGATGGTTTGGAACTTCCATCTGTATAGATAATCAGACGGTCAAAGTCACCATATGTCGGCAGTGAGCCTTCAACGTCTGTCGACTGATCCAAAGCAGTACGAACAAACTCTGGCACCTGCAAGTGGGAATGCCATGTGCATAGTGTGGTGGCACCTGAGCGAAAGAAATCTTGCAGATCAAGCAAAGTTAAATCCCAGGCCAGGATGTGGTCAGTCAAAGCTGACTCCTGTGCAGGCGGGTGGAAAAACTGCTGATGTGGGATGACAGTCTGTCTCTTCGGCCAGGCAGTTGGGACTTTGCATTTCGTTGCTGGAACATCCAAGGCAGGCTCATTGTTGTGAAATTGGAGAAGTGTCAAATGACGCCTGGGTCTGCGTTTATCAATGACAACAGCACGTTCAAAACCAAGTGAATGGAGAAGAATCATGTGTTCCTGTTCGTCGAGATCATGATCATCTTTGTGCAAGATAATTTCCGATGGATCCTGGAATTTCAACGGAAAGTAAATATAATGCCAATCATGATCGGTTGCAGTCCATGCTTCAGGGAAAACATATGCAGACCCAGTTCCAGGCAAACAATAAACATGATGGTTGAAACCAAACTCCAAAAGTGCGCCTTGGATATCATGTTCAGAGTATTCATCGGGAACCATCACATGTGTCGGGAATCCAGGAGGAGTCCCCTGCAGAGTGTCAATGTGGAAAAGCCGAATAGGTACCTGATGGCTCAGTACAAGTTTGTCATGCAACGTCAATGAGTGCACAGGGCGCGGTGGGAGCTGCAAGGCAGCAGCTTCATCGCCTTGGTCTTGGACAGGCATGACCATAACAGGTCGTTCGACTCTAACAGTGATTTCATCTCCGGACCGCCCTGGCCATCGTTGATCAGGTTGGACAGGGTGACCATTGATCCATCCTTGAAATGGCACAGCATGGGCTTGTGTGTATCCACAGTGACGCATGATCACATCGAGTTGGATATGCTCCGAGGTCGTCACAGCAAGTCGGATGAGATGATTGTCTCTACGGCTGAGAAAAGAATCAAATACCGTTACGAGACTGGATACCCACTCAACTCTGGGTGCCTGTACCAGGATTACATGGGCAATGACATTAGGCTCAAGGATTGGCGGTGCAGGTTCAACAACATGCATTTCAAGTGCAACACCGGTGTCAATGAAATCCTGCCAAGTGGTGCGGACGCGCGTTTCCCAATCTTGAAACCGATCATCAAGGTGGACATGACGGCTCTGAGTGCAAATCGGCAGTCCACGGTGGTCAACAAACCAGGTGATGATCGGAGCTGATGGAGCTTCATTTTCCCAAGTGAATACTCTTGCATTCCAAATTAGGTACAGCTCATGAATCAGGTCATTGTTGTCAAAGACATTTCTACCAGGTTGAAACTCAGCCGCATGGACATTGAACTGGAAAGCAGGGCATGCATGTGCAGGCTGTGCATCATTGCTACCAGTGGCTGTGTGGGACGGCGAATGCACATGGGATGAATGTTGCATCATGACAATATCATCAAAGTACCCTGGAGGTTCCTCAGGCGTTTCATTCGGCAAGCGTGGCAATTGATGATTCCTAGGTTCAACTTGCACACGGATGCTGAAACCAGAGTTCACTTCAGTCGCAACGACAAGGTGCACAATGTTACGATCATGATAAACCGTGCATCGACGATCCTCGCAAAATGGCGCAATTTCGAGTGTGTCGATCACGTCCTGCTTGCGAATGTGCCTTGGCATAGAGAATGCGCCTTGGATAATGCCGTCATTCGTGTAACCTGCCAAGAGAGCAGTAAGGACACCAGCTGCCTGTCCAGGTGCTCTATTTTGTTCCAGGAGAATATGGCAAGCATACCCATAATGACGGTATTGCGGCGGTCGTGGCTTGATGATGTGCACTGAATAAGGAACATTCTGAACCATTTCATCCCTCCAAGTGTGCGTAAAGTCGTCAAGCCATGTGATCCAGTAATGATCGAGACGAATTGGCCTGGGCTGTCGACAAACTGTTCTCCTGAGATGATCAATGTACCACGACTGAACGTAGAGGAAATATTCACCCTCAAATGCTTCCTCTCGTGCGTGCTGGGAAAATATTTGTCCAAATTCCCAAAACCAGGATTCATCTCCATCATGGGCAGGTCGTGGAGGTCTTTCTGGTCGTCTGCGTACTGATGTCATCGGTACGTCGATATCACCTTCAAGATCAGCCTGCTTGAATGAGACAGTGTGCCCATTGGTCCTGCTATCATCGCGAACTTGTTGTCTAGAGGGACTAGAAATTTCTTCTCCAGATTGCATGATCTCTTCCGCAACACGTCCAGCAATAGGAGATTCAAAAACATTCGCGGCATCGTGAAAGATGCGGATGGCTCGTCCTACGTCCCAGGTGGCATCAGAGGGTGGAGGGATGACGATCCTGAAGTACATGCCATGCTCTGTTCGAAGCGGACCTCGCTCTTGTTGATTCCAAAGAATACGGTTGCGGTAAATCAAGCAGTCTGTCTGGTGCCACTCACAATAGGCATCCGTACGCGTGACTTGGAGCAGGTACTGTCTGACCACAGTGGGCAGGATTCTGTGGATCTGTCTGGATACTGGAGGCGCACTCGGATGAGTCCCACCACTATGCTGGTGATGCATCTCGATGTCGATGAGGACAAGCTTCTCTGTCGACCCAGGTGGAATGTCCAGGTAGTGTTGAAGAATAATAGATTCAACTCCGGGCACTTGATCATCAGGAAGACATTGCAACCGATGAAAAGCAATGAAATGGTCAGATGGTACTCCAACAATCCTGGCTGCATCCTGTAGCATTTGAAGGTGCGTGCGGCTTCTGACTAGGCCTGTGATTTGAACATGCCCCAGCCTGTGAATGGTTGCATGAGTTACATGTTCATCAGGACCAGTCGAGCTTGGTGAGGGATATGGTGAATCTGGCTGATCACGGATAACATCCTCACGATCTGGTGCATTCACTTCATTCGGGTGCCCAGGCGAATGCTCAGTGGATGGATGTGAGACAGCCGATGCAGAGGGCAATGCCGTGGCTGGAGCTGCAGTGGAGCTTGAAGAAGCACTTCGCACAACAACGATGAAGGAATCCCCATCTTGCATTTCATGAACAGGCTCAAGTGTGAAAGGGATCCGATTCCAGCCGTTACGAATTGAACATGTGTTCAGATTGCACTCATGGAGATATTCCGCTTGTTGAATGATCTGATGCCCACTTGTGATTTCAGATAGCGATACAGCAACTGAATATGCAACCCTCTGTGCAGGATCATCCTTTTTGCAGATGGACACTAATCCTGCCCATCGCGGAGCATCTAATCCTTGTGAAAGAATAATGTCAAATAAAATGTCCTGGGCAACTCCAGTACGAGGAGGATTTGGCCTGACAATATCAAAAATGACCTGTTCTAACGGAAGGATGCGATCTCTCCAGGCAGAAATGATGTCATTGAACCAGTGTCGCCAGTGACCATTGATTTCAACAACCCGAAATTGGAAACACTGCGGAGCATGCAAATGATGGACAAACCAAGCACGCAGGAAGACATTCTCATGAATGCGAGGTCCAGTTACTTCTCCCTCAGCAAACAAGGCATCATACAAATTCTGCAGGGACTGAGGCGCTTCATGCAGAAAATGATTGGCATCTTCAGGATCATCATGTTCATCCGGTTGAGGCTGATTGGTATTGTACCATGTTGAAGGAACATTATGGTATTGGTCCGTCGTTCTGAGACATGATGGGTTACTAGTGCGCAACCTACATTCATGAGGAAATGAAACCTTTGAATGGCTGTCCTGGAGACCCTTATCCGTTTTCGGGGGTCGTCTGGACCATGGCTTTTCGGTCCAGGCGGTCAGCTCAAACGTATCCATTGTCGTGGAGAACATTGCAATTTCGTCTTCCAGTCCAACATAGATGGAAACATGTTCATGGAATCCAACTTTCCTAGAGGACAAAAGTTTTTCTGATGGACTGGATCGGATGCAGGGACGCAAACAACTGTGGAGCATGCACGAATTTTCCGTTCGGAGCTCTAACACATGTTTTTCTGATGGATCGGATCGGATGCAAGGACGCGAACAACTGTGGAGCATGCACGAATTTCCAATGGTTCGGAGCTCTAACACATCAGCATGTTGTATGTGTCCAGTTTGGTGATGATTGGAAATCTCACTCAAAACAAAACCCAATTGATCACTGTTTGGCATGGTCTTGGAAGGCAGTTCACAGTTGGCAGCTTCAATGAATTCATCAAATGAGTCGCATATGATACTCCAACCAAGTTTCCAAGCGGAAAAAACTGCATCAAAAGGATTGAGATAATTGTATTCAGATTGAATGGAGTGTTGCCAGTGGGAAAACCTGTGGATGTCAAAATCAGTGAGCTGATACTGGCTTGCTGCATGCATCACCGGCACGGATGCATAGGCCTCAACCATGTCAGCTACAGGCCAGGCGTCATGCACGTCATGGCTACGCACTAACGAAGCACCGCCATCTCTCAGTCCTTGACTGCTCCACCACCAGTTCCAGACCCACCAAATGGTTGCATAGAACGGGGCCTTTTTTTGTCCCGTTCGTCCTCTTCCATGGTGAGATCCTCTGCCTCCTGGGCTTCTGGCAACTGCTCGACATTCAGGGCGGCTGCGCAATTCTGTAGAATAGTCTGCAATTGACCCTGTAGATTCACCTCCTCGGAGTCGGCTTCTCCACCACCTTCCTCCTGTTCCACCGAGATCGGTGTGATTGGTGGCATGGCTGCCAACTGAGCTTGAGATGCAGTCGACGACAGAGCTTGAATAGCTGTTCTGGCAGCTTCGATGTCGGACTTGGCCTTCACTGCAACTTCTTGAAAAGCTGCCTGTTGTTTTTGATACTCCAACAGTTGTGCCTGCCACGTCGATGCTGCTTCGGTGATGTGTTTGATCCATCTGGCACGGTGTGACTTTCTCGCATCCATGGTCTCCTGCAATGTCTTTTGGGCCTTGCCCAATGACTTGGTTGCTGAGTGGATGTTTTTGGTCACCAATTTGCTGTTTTCCTTCTCGAGTTTTTCTATCTCTTTCTCGATCTTGTCGATCAATTCCTTTGTATCCGAAGGGATGTTGTTGCCCTCGGGGTAGGCCTGTTTCAAAGCAGTTACACACTCCTTCTTCTGAGCAAGTATGTCCGCATTGTTGGAACCTGAGGCAGCGGCTGAAAAGGGCGTTACACCCGTGGAGGCGCTGTCTCCGGTAGGCCAGGTAGGCATGGTAGGTGCAAGTGGTGCGAAGGGAGACTGGCTGACATCGCTTGTCCCTTTCTGCTCGCCACCACCTTTGCCCTTTTTGTTTTTTCCCTTCCCTTTTCCAGCACCCTTGCCTTTGCGGCCTCGGGGGCTTTGGGAGCCCTTGGTTGTCCGTGGGCTTTGCGATCTGCTTTGTGACCTGTCTTGTGGCCACTGCCAGGAGCGATCTGTTGCTTCCCATTCCTCCCATTGTTCCCAGTCGAATCTCTGCTGTGCGGGCCATGCATCCCGATATGCAGTGGCCTTGTAGGTCGGCTGCTTTGGCTCTGTGTTGTGGCGGTTGCCTGATGTCCAATGTGCGTGACAAACCACGCACTGTATCGCAACCTTCTTGTTGATTCTCTGGCAATGAGAGCATTTCCATGGATATAGATTGGATGAATCCATGTTGAGGTGCTTCTGGATGGTCTGAATGAAATTGGAGTCTCGACTGTGATGCCTTGCGAGCGTACACTTGATGCACAAAAGTGCCTGCTTGGACAGTGGAACTTTCCCAGTTCTGTGTAGATGCCAAGCAGCCCGTGCGGCAGCGCGTTTTCTGCGCTGCCTCCTCCTCTGTGTGCCACTGAGGAGAGTAATCTTGCAAGTTCACGAAGATCACAACCAAAATCAATAAGACCAGCAAAATTGAGCACATAAATGTATTGTATTGGCCAAGAGAAATAACACCAGGGCACGTCCAGTTCAGTGTCAGTTCCACAAGGCAGAAAAATTGACCAAATTGAAATGTAGGAACCTCCTCACGGTGCAGTTCCAGAAAAATCAAATGTGAGAGAAATGTTAGATAATATATATATATATTCTGGTTGGTGCTTTGATCCCCATATACTCTGCCAGTTTTAAGATGTTTCAACACTTTCGTTTTATCCACCAGGCACTGCCACGAGCCGCGGCGCTTTGACCGCGGCGGGCGACCTCTCGCGGGGCGAGGGGATCTTCGACGATCCGGAGTTGGAGGACGGGCAGAAAGGTGATGGATTTCATATGGGAAATCCTATGGAAATCCTATGGTATCCTTTTTTTATGGTATCTGTTAATATGGGACATCCTAAATTTTGGATTTACTACTGGGATATCCTCTAGTAATGAGAAATCCTATGGGATATATATATATATTATAAGGATTTAATGGGATTATGGAATTTGAATGGGAATATAATGGGATAAAAACCCTCCGGTGTTATCACACATGACGATGGGCAATCTCCCATTTATGTTTGATGTTTGATTTCCCCGTGAAGACCTCCATTTGTAGGGGATTCTCAATTGCTATGTTTGATTACAGGAAGGTAAGTTAGTTATTACTCCAGTTCCGAATAGGGTAGGATTAGTCCAGTTGAAAAATGGGGTGAACTGAGCCACTTTTTAACTGGGGTGAAAGCATTTTTGATGTTGGAGATATGAGATTTTACGAAGAAGTTGTGGCTATTTGCTTGCTAATGGGACAGGAATTGTATTTTAAGCCATATATAATTTACCATTTTCATGGGATTAAATTGGATTTACTGGGTATGTATACAATTAGACAGAACTAAGTTTTAGATTGACGGATTAATAATGAAAGTTGGGGTGGAACTCCAGGGTTGCTCCGACCAATTGCGTGTAAATGATAGCAACTTTCGGCTGGACTTGTTATTCTTTACCTATGTCATTTGCCCATGTTTGCCACTTGTTTAACTGAAATGTTGGTAGCATGAAATATAGCGGATGTATGGTGGAACTATGGCAGAAATATGGTGGACCTTACCGCCATGCGTCCACCAGAGTTGCTGGGTTGGTGATTCTTTCTCTGGTGAAGCCCACCAGAAATGTGGAAGGAACTGGGAAGCCGTTGTTTTTTTTAAATATCTTGAGGGGCCCTCGAAAGGTCCCAAACATAGAGATTTGCTGGTGGTTCTTCATTCTGATGCAACCAAATTTGCAGACATTGGGAGACTTTAGATAGCTAGTGGTTTGATGCTGCTACTGCAGAAATCTCATGCCGCATGACACATGATGTCAATCTTGGACCTGGATTTTGGACCGACCTGTTTTTTCATGTTTTTTTCGATGCAGCATGACGCAACCAAGATTGATGCCCTGCCAGTGGACATTGCCTCAGGAGGAAGAAGAAGAACTGGAAGAGCCTACAGATGAGCAAGAGATGGCTGATGCAGTGTCTCGATCAAGTTGTCAGATGGGCTAAGTAGATCGCTGGGCTGGGCTGGATTTTTTTAGGTTTCACATTTCATATATGACTTCATAACGATTCGAATGGTTTATTTTCAACAGGAAATCTGTTTATATCATTTTATATCCAGACTATCCATAGATGTTTCTAAACAAATATATAAAATATACTATCCATAGATGTTTTATATATACTATCCATACATATATAGGAGATGTTTCTATGGATCTATACTTTTCGAAGAAAGAAATCTCCCTTAAACTCCACCAGCTGGCGCCATGCGAAGGTGTGGTTCGATGCGGACGACGGCCGGCGGCTGCTGGCAGAGCTCAATCTGCGCTGCGAGGCGGGCTGGCGCTACAGCGCCGCAGATCAGGAGGAGCGGTTGGGCCGATTTTTTTGGAAATCGACCGAGACGCCTGGAATGTTAGGATTGGGTGTGTCTGAAAATAGTGTACCCCTTTTTACCCAATGGTTTTGCTGATCATTATCCCTATTAAATGGCTATTTCATTGGGAATATACCCTATTTTCAGACAAACCCAAATATGGAAATGAATGGTGGAAAAGATTAGTATCATGAGTGTATGAAAATGATGTTATAATATGTTAATATGTTGTTATATGTGCTTCCCCAAAATGATTCAAAATGATGGGTATATAATTTCTGTATTTATATACTATACATAATTATAGTACTTATATGAACATATGAAATCATGAAATCACTTGAAACCGAGCAAAATCACGTGGTGGTATTCCAGTCTTGACCCAACCACCTGAGGGGCCCTGGCTTCAGGGCTTGGATGCCACGGGGTGGTGTCCCCACCTTGCAGGTGTAGTTTTAGCGAAGGAATCCTGATGATCCACCATTAAACATTATTGAATATGATCTATCATAGATACACTAGTAGAGTCTGTAGCATGGATACATCATGAATACATATAGATTCTACACATCTATATGTACGTGATTCTACGTGTATATATATATATACATATGTATGTATGTATGTATGTATGTATGTATGTATGTATGTATGTATGTATGTATGTATGTATGTATGTATGTATGTATGTAGTATGTATGTATGTATGTATGTATGATGTATGTATGTATGTATGTATGTATGTATGTATGTATGTATGTATGTATGTATGTATGTATGTATGTAATGTGTATGTAATGTTTGTATGTGTGTATGTATGTATGTATGTATGTATGTATGTATGTAATGTATGTATGTAATGTATGTATGTAATGTATGTATGTAATGTATGTATGTATGTATGTATGTATGTATGTATGTATGTATGTATGCTATGTATGTATGTAATGTATGTAATGTATGTAATGTATGTAATGTATGTTATGTAATGTATGTAATGTATGTAATGTATGTAATGTATGTTATGTAATGTTGTGTTGTGTAATGTATGTTATGTAATGTATTAATGTATGTATGTATGTAATGTAATGTATGTAATGTAAATGTATGTAATGTATGTAATGTATGTAATGTATGTAATGTATGTAATGTATGTAATGTATGTAATGTATGTAATGTATGTAATGTATGTAATGTATGAATGTATGTATGTATGTATGTATGTATGTATGTATGTATGTATGTATGTATGTATATATGTATGTATATATATATATTACATACAAGACAATGGTACTACATTACAATGCTTCAATATATCATGGTGGCTTCCCCCCAGGAGATGGTGGCATTTCGAGACATGATCAAGGTCCGGGGGAGTAACTGGGTAACTGGCTTGACATCGGGAGATTTATAGGAGGTATTTGGGCAATTGTTATTTAAATCTTGTCTCAAAATCTGTAGTCTAGAAAAAAATGCTGTTTAATCAACAACACATGGTGGGGGATGTAATGGGGATAATAGAGGATAATATAATGGAATATGCAACCAAATTCATATTACTGTATAAGTAGCGTCTTTAATCTGGATGCAGAAAAATGGATCAAACAAGAGAAGCCGGTATTCAGGCGGAAATACTCACTCATGCCAACTCTTCGGGCGAAATCACCGGCAGAACAGATCACCCTCGGCCTGCATGATCCAGGGTGAGATCCGAAACTGAAAGTGACAATTTTCAATTTGGCACGTTTCGATTTTGCGGACTACTTTTTGGACAGGTGAAACATATTGAAAAATGAATATCCATGCGCCTGTGATGAACTAGCTATCAAGTAGATTTAAGAGCTACGTTTCACGCCCGCTTGAATTTAGATTATTCCTTGGATTGATGTAAAGGAACAGATGCAGCCATGGGTTTGACAATCCGAACATGTGCCTTCCTCTTGATTTTCCCATAAACCAATTCCAGGACCAAAATCCCCACGGTTGATGGTCAAATACCGACATGTTCCCATAATGTTGATGAGTAAAAATCGTAATATCGTATAATTTTCTGATGGTTATCCCAATTTTTAGGATTTCTTCAAAAGTGCAATCACCACAGCCAAGTAGACCCGGTTTTTCAACATCTCCATATCCATACACATCCCACATGTTGATCAAAAAAAATCCAAGATTCAAATGATTGCACTGAAAAAAATCTTCAAATCGTCGCATCCATGGAGGTTTCCATACTAAGGGATCCCCAGTCGTCACCGGTTTCAACATGTTTCAATACTAAGTCATGCCGTCATGATATGACTGGATGATTTCGGGGGCATCCCAATGTTTGGAAACCTCCATATAATATCATATAATCCAATATAAAATCATTGGATCAGCGCTTCTTTCGTAAATCCCATTGGTTTCTTCACTGGATGCCATTAAAAAATATCACCATGACCTGGCATATAATCCCATATATTCCCATATAATCTCCCAATTTTTTCACCTGGCTTGCCCCATGATTCCTGGGTCAGCTCCAGGAACTTCAAGCCTTGCGCTGGCGCGAGCGCCTGCGCCACGAGGCCGCCTTGAAGCGCCTGGCGGAGGCACAGCGGCGCTTCAACATGTGACGCGGCTGGAGACTGGGGATGAAAGGGGAGAAGAAGCATTTTCTATAAGTACATATAGATTATATAGATTATATAGATGATTATAGATTATAGATATATAGATTATATATATATAGAGAGATAGATATATAGATAGATATATAGATATATATATATATATGGATTATAGATATATAGATTATATATTATCAATTTATACATAGATTATAGATATATAACTGATACCCTCTGGTAAACTAACATAGCTATTGAAAATGACCATAGAAATAGTGGATTTTCCCATTGAAAATGGTGATTTTCCATAGTTATGTTAGTTTACCAGAGGGTATATAGATTATAGATATATAACTGATACAAGTTGGAGCTTTCCTAAGATGAGGCTACCAAATCATCTAACAATTACCCTCCTGTAAACTAAGTATATTATAACTGGGGGATTTTATTGATATATAACTGATACTATTTTTGGGGAGAAGGGGAGAAGAACCGGCCCCGTTTTTTTTGGGATGAGATAGTTGATATAGTGATATTTAGGCAACAATCAAGGGGGTTTTACGAGTAATTATAGTGATATGATGGGATATATATATATACATATTATAAATTGTTAGTTAGCATTAACCAGTAACTAGCCAGTGAATTCTGGTTGTTTTGGTTGGTGGTTTATTTTTGTTGTACACCATAGAAATGGGATGATGATCTGTACTTTCCAGATGGATTGCTCTCGGTTATGTGAGAACCAAGAGGAGTTGCAGTATATTTCTTGGTTTTCCTATTCTAGACCACTTGTCCAGATTCGTTGAGTCTTTGTTTTGGAGTTGCACGATTGGTTTGTATTTTTGATGCTGGGCATTTTTGTTCAACATTGAATGACTCATGGAATTCTCGATGAGGACAAAGATGGTCCGTCCTTTGAACCATGGCTTTTGGATGTGTCCAAAAATGTCCAAAAAGGGTATACAACCCCCGGGCCCATGTTTTTTCGTGGGGTGTTCCTTTTTGGTGGTGCTTCACAGCTGTGTTCCTTGGTTTCAAAGGTCATTAACATCCACCATTTCATTGGGAAAGTGATGATAGAGTCTATACATTAACATCAATTAACATCCATTCAACATCCATCAACATCTCTAAAAAACATCGATTCAACATCCATTCACATCCATCAACATCCATCCATTCATTGAGAAAAACTGATGATCAACCATGGTGCGACCACCTCGGGTGCCCTGTTACCGCCGCCAAGCGGCGGCAGTCGAGGCAGACATCTCCGTTTGAGACGAGCATGTTTGAGATTCAACAGCAGTTCCGCAGCCGCACCCGTTGGGCCTATTTTCGAATGAAATGCGATTGGGGATTTCTGGCAGATTTCAAGCAACAAAATGGAACGTATTGGGATTTTTTAGGGGGATTTAACCATGAACTTAATGGGATATCAAGGGGATTTCAATGGGATTTCAATGGGATTTCAATGACTTTCAGCACCTAAAAAACTGCTAAGGTATGGATCAAAACCTTGGTATTCTGATGTTCACCCAAAAAAAGGGCTTCTGAAAGGATGTGCATCCCTTGTATTCGAAATACCCTATGGTTATGACTGACATAGCCATGGAAAATCACAATTTTTAATAGGTAAACCCAGGTAAACCATCTATAAATGGGCCATTTTCCATGGCTATGTTAAATAACCAGAGGGTAGATTTTGATCCATCCCCCCTATTATATCTGATTTATGTTGGCCCCTGTCTTGATTTAAACCTCTCCAAGATGTTCATAGAATTCCAGGACGCATCAGGAAAATGCGGTGAAACCACCATAGGAGACGATGCGCAAATCTAATCCTTTGGTCATTTAAGATGGCTATGAAACATCATCATGTTTAATAGGTACATAAGTATTCTATTTATATATAATAGCTATATTACCATTTACCATAGGTATTTTGAGTTACCCAAGGGTCATCCTGTCCTCACCATCATGCAACAGAACCATCTTTCTACAGATGTCATGACGGATCACTTAGGTATGGCTCAAAATTGGGGTAAGACATGAAATCATTAATTTTACTTAACATGTGTGAGTTCAACATTAAAGTTAATATTTTAAGATACAAAACTGTTTCGCAACGTATTGAACATCCAAGTTTGGGACTTTGATCGTGTTGACACCATTTTGTGCATGCCTCTGCTTTGTTTTCCAAGGGTCGAACCAAGGATTGAAGCTGTAAGTCTGGAGGTCAAAACCTCTCACGAGCAGAGGATGACCAAGCAGGTGCTGCATCCAGTGGATTTTCATGGATACTGCTCTAACCACTTTATGGTGGATATTTTTATGGGATCATGTAAGAATCATGTATGACCAACTGTTGAAATTTGGGGTTTTGATTCGGATTTGCCAGACCCCAATTTATGGCACTCTTAAAGTGAAGCATGATGGTGCTGATTAAAGGCTGGATCATGCTGGATCAGTGAGGTCATTGCATGTGTTTGGGAAGTAATTTGTGAAGTCTGAGTCAGTTTGACTTGTTCCTTCATGGTACATTCAGACCGGTTTCTATGGTTCCACTATGTTCCATCGCTAAAACAAGAACTTGGTTTCGCCATGAACGACCAAAGCGTGGTGCCATCGACTCCATATGACTGTCGCAGGCGGAGCTTGAAACAGTTCAAAGGGAGTGTGAGGTGGAGCAGGACACAGTGACATACAAGGTGGTGCCCCCCAAGTTATAAGTTGGTTTATAATCCCATTAACTATAGATATATCACCTATAAACCATAGTTATTGGAGTTATAAACCACCTTGTAGTGGTTGACTTTCAGATCTCAGGCAGATTCCAAGATCAAGCCATGAACCAACATGGAGCGCCCAGATGCGATGTCAGGAGGAGCTACTGCAGACCCAACTGGGCTTTCAGAGGGTGAACAACAGCCTACGCCTGAGGCCAATGGGATGCTACCAGGGTACCACCATTGTAGGAAACCCAAATGGCTACGATGTATGTGGCATTTACACAATTACCTGGTAGATTAAGATGGATAGTTGTTCAGACCTGAAGTGTAGATCATTTTCCGAACGGCCAACCGTGTTTTTTTTCCCATGTTTGTGTTAAAACTTGCTCGAGGGTACAATTTTTTTTTGCTGGGAATCTCTGATGGTTGGGTGATCATAGCCTACATTGTAGGCTATCTTTTTAGTGCTTTGACCGCAATTCACTGGACATATGCAATCTCAAGATGTTTGATTTGTTGATTTCTTGATTTGGTGCATCCATGGCTCTGGGAAGTCTTGTAACTGCCTGCGCAACCACGCCAGGCATCAAGAGATTGGAGAAGCTTTGCAGGTGCGACTTGCGCGCTGCAGCAGGATGCAGTAGGTTTGGTGATTGGACGATTCCGCTTCGCCATTTCCAAATGAGGTCCACGACTCATCGACTTACTCACTTCCATTCAACATCAGATCCAAGTCAAGTTTTTCACAGTATGTCAATATGTCTATAGAAGTACTCACTTCCATTCAACGAAGATCCAACTCAAGCATAAGCAGTATAGATTAAGCCATGACATATCTCAAATTATGGAAGTTGCCACTTATATAGATATGCTGATATTCCACGAAATACCACTTTTTTGGGGACTTACATAATATAGATACACTGTTGAATGGATATATGTCATCCATTCAGGAATCTCCACAGGCCCTGCGTCGGGAGCAGAACCTTCATGAGGGCAGCATTGAGGCTCTTCTGGCTGACAATGAGAGGCAGGGACCATTGGACCAGGGATGTTTGGGATTTGAACATGGATAACATGGAACGATTGTAGATGCTGACTGAACCCACAGAAATTCATGGTGGTTCACCATGTTTAATAGGTAAATTCATCATAAATCATCTATAAATGGGCCATTTTCCATAGCTATGTTGATTTAAATGACCAGAGGGCTGGCGGTTTAACATGGTTCAACCATAGAAACATGGTGGTTTTAAGGCCTGCCGAGATGCCGTATTTGGAATCAACAGGTGCAGACGATGCCTCCATGCTGTCCGTTTCGAAACAGAGACGGAGCGCTTTGCCACGTGCTTAGTGGGCGAGAGGACATGGTGCTGGATCCCCAAGCCACGACGACTGGATGATTTGGGGTTACCCCCAATGACTTAGGAAATCACACGAAATGCCATTCTAGTGGGAAAATGATGATACTATCGATGATACTATCGTAGATTTTTGGGTACCCCATTGGAATAATCCGCAACTTGAAGCATTGGGTGTGGAAGGTTCCCGGCTTGCTCTTTGGTAAAGAGTTTTGCTATAGGAACAATAATCTGGGGATCCAAAAATCTCCGTTTCGAATTATGTATTGAGGCCAATACCGTGGTTGAATAGGATGTGAATCGAATCCCCAGTCATACTGTCGGAATGGAACTGAATCCCTGGGGATATGCTTTCTGTCTATGGACACTCGTTGTTGAACTGACAACACACACACACACAACAGAAAAAGCCCATTCGAGTTCTGAGGTGCCCCATACGACGTTGGAGCGGCTGAAGCAAGATCCAATGGTCAATATCAAGTAGAGTTGGAGTGCAAAGGCCTCCGATGACAGGCAAACATGGCATCATCCAGAAATGTCATTGGATGCTCGCGGAAAGTCATGACAAGGAAGGTATAGACGACATAGACCCCACTTGTAGCTGTTTTTATTGGCCAGAGCACACACATTCACATGGGTTTCACATTCAGCTTTTGCAAATAGTGCAGAGGCTCAAATGCGCAGAAGTCCGAGAGGGAAAATTGAATTAGGCAATTTCTTGAAAGACTGGGTGGTTCGCAAGCAGATCCGAACCGATTGGTGGTTTAGATATTGTTTAGCCCGACGGTCAACTATACAGATGACATGTGCTTCAAATATTACTGACGTGTGCTTGAAATATTGCTAAATTTCCATGCTTACCCTCCAATCAAACATGGCAATGAAAAATATCCGGTTCATATCAAGCTCTGCAGCTCTGCAGCTTTTCTTAGTCAAGTCATGACATGGCACAAGTGATTGATTGAGGCAGTGAAGGCAGTGGAAGTATCATCCCACTGCTACCAAATCGATGTGACGCAAGTCGAAGCGCTGCTGATCATATGATGAAGAAATATGGCTATAATTGGATATACAATGGATTGGTTTAAGGGAAAATCTACAGGAAACCATAGATTTTCCCATTAAATATAGGGCTTTCCTGTAAAATTTCCCTTAAACCAATCCATTGAGATATACAACTAGACTGAAATGAATCTGTTGGAAGCTCGTTGAAATCGAGTTGAAATCCAAATGAACCTGCAGTAAAAAAGCCAGCCACAGTTGCCAACGCTTCGTTCATCAGACGCCCACCATGTGCGGCCAGACACAGGTCCAATGTGACCCACCCAGGCGATCCAAGACGTGATGAAGTGGGACTATGTGAAACTCATCCCCGAGAAATCATGGGCTTTAGTGCAATTAGAGGATTTATATTTACATGGGGAATAAAGTAGGGGATTTACCTTGGAATTTCCCAACGGGGATATTGGATCGATAGGAGACCATTGGGTTTCCCTGAGGCCGAAGATCAGCCATGAGTCTCTTGGAAGCGCAACGACAGCGACACAAAGCCTTAGGGCAACGGCATGGCTTAGGTGCTTCGGAGGTGAGGTGGGGCATTTCCCAAGCGTGTTTGATTAGCGGCTATCTTTGGTGTATCTTTTTGGATTTTGGGTGGTATTTGGGTCATCAAGTGTCAGAAAACCTCTACATCAATTACATTCAGTAGTACATCCGATTCTCAAGCTGCGCGCCATGTTCAATATAGCTGGCTGCTTATAGTACTCCTTTCCTAATACTGCCCACCCCCCCTTCCCTCCCAAATAAGAAACATTTGGGAGGGGATTAAAAGGGAACACTCATTACCCTCTGGTAATTTAACATAGCGAACTGGAAAATCACCATTGTTAATGGGTAGATCCACTATTTCTATGGCCATTTTCCATAGCTAAATTACCAGAGGGTAATCCAAATGCTCCGTCGTTTGTGCCTCTTTGGCGTTCCGGTTCCGTATCAGTTCCGAGGCGCTGCCCATCAGGCATAGAATTTATATAGGTCATTGGTTGAGTATTAATAACATCAATGAAAATAGAATGGAGAATTGCAAGATTAGTTTTTGGAATTCTTAGATCAGTATGATTTAGATGGTGCATACTGGTGCATACCTTCAATATCTCCATGTGCAGATGATAGGATTTCCTTGCCATATCTTGCCATCACATATCATCCATATGTTGGATAATGAATAGCTGAATAGCGATCCTTCGATTGATAGTGAACAAGTTTGAACCTCACCATTATGATGGTTTGTAAGAGGAATCCACTGAACACAGGGCTTCAAACCTGGGATTTATTCTAAATTCTAAATGATCCATCTTATAACCTATCCAGATCACAAATGAGACATGATACATACCATCAATATAGTATAGTATACTATATACTGCATAATATATATATATTCATATATATATATATATATATATATATATATATTCATATATATATATATTCATATATATATATATTCATATATATATATTCATAATATATATATATACATAATATGATTGCATATAAGGAAGGCAGGATACGGGTATTGTCATATCACCATTTATGGATAGATTGATGGCTGGGACAGTTGTTGGCTGGGATACATGAATATCATCATTTATTTGGAGATATTAACTTTCCATCAATGGATATTAATTATAGGTCATTGATTCCATAAGTTTCCATTTATGGAATGTGATTTCCACTATAGATGAAATGGCCATTGTTTTTTTCCCCAATTATCACCATTTGTTATATCACTGTGTAGATCACCATTGATTTGGAGACTCAATATGATGGGGAAGCAATATAGAGATGTTCCATTTATTGCCATTTATACATCATCATTTTCTATTTATCACCATATCTTTATAGATACCCTCCAGCAAACTAACATAGCTATTGACCACGGCCCATTTATTCGTTGATTTACCTACTAAAAATGGTGATTTTCCATAGCTATCTGGGCAAATTATAACGACCTCACTGTTTTCCCGAACCCTGGAATCATGGTTAGTAGGGGTAATTATCCCACAATAGCCCAACATTTGTTGTCTTATTTCAGATCAGTGAAATATGATCATTTACCCAGATAGCTATGGAAAATCACCATTTTTCGTAGGTAAATCAACGAACTAAATGGGCCATGGCCAATAGCTATGTCACTTTACCGGGTAAAGATACCGGCATCACTTCATCGGTGCGCCAGGTCATCCGCCAGCTGCGGCATGACTTCGAACAGGAGACGGGCAACGAGGCCCTTTTTTCAGCGGGGCATGGGGAGATCATGAGGATACAACCGGGATATATGTCTATTATATACAATTAAATATATGATTAATGATAATGAATTATACACATAACTTTACATATATCTTTATACTAATACGTACATATGTATATATAATACACGTGATGCTTAGGATATTGTTTTGCTGTAGATATCTGACATATAAAAAGGGAATGTGTTCCAACATATTTTAGTCAGGGTTCGACAGGCTTTCATATATGGAGGGGTGCACTTCAAAAAATGTCATACAAAGAAAGCCATGTTATGTTTCCAGTTTCCTGAGTCCTGTTCCGGGGTCCCATCAACTTTTCTTGGCAAGTTGACAGGCTTCGGCCAAAGGGGGTTACTCCCTCTGGGAGTTGGAGAATGGAAAATCCCCATCTGTAGATGGGGTTTTTCCACCTTTGCCTTTCAGTTCGGAATTTCCATTGCCATGTTTGAAAAAACCCGAAGGGTATTCTGAATTCTTTTCATAAGCGAATGATTTACCCTCTGGTAATTTAACATAGCTATGGAAAATCACCATATTTAATGGGAAAATCCACTATAAATGGCCATTTTCAATAGCTATGTTAAATTACCAGAGGGTACACATGGAGTGTCTTCCATCGCCAGTTCAGATTTGCAGAGTGCAACTGGCTGCCAGTCACACGAGACCTCTGGATTTTGATCTCGGAACAGTTCCTGTATTCTGATCGCGTATGATCCTATCATAAAATGGCGGGAAAAAACTCCATTTACTCATTGGATTGGTTTTTGTTGGGAAAATTTACCAGGAAACCCCATTGGTTTAGTCAAAAAAGCCATGGTTTCCGGTGAAGATTTTCCCAGAAATCCCGTGATGTCCGTGGTCAGGCCCCAAAATCCGCGGCTTCGCAGTATCAAGTGGCAGGCCACCTGTCAGGACTGGGTGGATATGGGAAGATCGTCCATATGGCTGAGATACATATGAAAATTATCATATTAACAATCATAATTCTATTCATAATACTATATAAAAATAAGAATATATATATAATACTACATACTAGTGATAGTAATAATGGTGGACACTGTCTAGTAACATGTCTTTTTTCTATCCATAATGAAAATTGGGGAAGAGCTTCTTTTCCTCATGGGATGGAATGGGCAGAGGTTCCCTGTGTTTCGGGATATGCCCATAGTGTTCAATGTCTAAAGGTATCTAAAAACCAGATCCAAATATCCCCATGATATTCCCACGATATTCCCCGTATCCAGGTGGCACCCCTTGGCACAGGCTTCGGCTTCAAAGCCCGTGAGGATGCCACCTCCGTTGCAGCCGCACGGGCGGAAGAGATTCACGGGAGTCTCGGAAGAAAAAAACAGGTTTTTTTTGATGTCAGGATCAGCAGGGAAGATATGGGAAGCCAATGGAAGCCAGCAGTTGATCATGGCATGCAGCATATATTTCCCCAACTTCAGGGCATATGATTTAGTTTTTTTGTCTCAAAATGGGGAAGATCAATACAACATGATCACTTGAATGTGGAAATTGGCTATAAACACTCGGATTTTGTTTTGGTTTTCATGTTTTATATGTGAAAGATATGTTGGACGATCCTGCTTAATGGATGCTGATGGTTTCATTTTCTATTCCTTCTTGATCCTGTTTTGGTTGTTTGAGCCCAACAGAGACAATCGATTTGGGAGTTTGGTTGAAGCCTCCGTGCAGTTTTTGGCTGGGAAGATCATAGGTTGGTTTCATGGAGCCAACCCAAATAATTCATGATGGTCATGATTATCGAATCTATGATTTTATTTCACATGTTCCATCATTTTCCCATATTTCCCATCAAGCTCCCTGATTTTCCATCGCCGGGCTGTTTGGTCATTCTCAGGTTGTTCAAGACCACTGAGAAGAAGACCAACGTCTTGGTGGCTCGCTGTCGTTCACGTCCAACTGGTCGTGGTTGGTCCTAACACGATTCCAACCATTGGTTTTGAATGGGTTGTTTCAAGCCATTAGACAGGCAAATGATATTTACCCCCTTGTACCTGCGGTGTTGCCAAATCCTGGTGATTTTTAAATATTCAAGGCAGGACCGCAGATGTTACTCCATGTTCAGTACAAACCTATCCGATTGTGTACCAAATTTTGACCCATTAGTATACCCATATGGGGATTGTAATGGGATTGGAATGGGATGATTGGATATGATATGATGGTATATGATGGGACTTTTGTGTATACTCTCCAGATCTCTCCAGTAT